GTTTGTTATTAATTGTGCTGAGTATATCAGTGTCGGTCCCGGCGGAGCACCGTTGATTCCTTTGTGCTCACGCCTCCCCACTACCCTCTTTTTCAGGTGACGGAGTCCCGCATGCAGCGTGAGCCGGATATGTGGTGGTCATCAATCAAGATATTTGTGTTATGTCATGTTTTGAATTGTTTGAATTAATTATGCTTTATTTATGTTTTGCTTATTGTCTGTTTGCCATTGATGTTTGAACCTATATTTGCTTCCGCACTCTAGAACTGTATTTTAGAACTTTAGATTATTTTTTCAGTATTTTAGAATTTCAGACTAGTCAGTATTTTAGAATTTCAGACTAATATTCAGATTAGTATGTTAGTAGTTCAGAATTTCAAATTACTATTTTAGTATTTTAGAATTTCAGATTTGAATTAAATATTTCAGGATTTCTGACTAGTATTTCAGGATTCCAGACTAGTATTTCAGTATTTCAGAATGTCAGTCTATGCATGCTTAAATCCTGAGATGTTCATGGCGCCTTAGAGTAATGAATTATACTCGGTTGCATGCCTAGTAGTTTATAGATATTAAAGATTAAAGATTTAAGATTAAAGTTGAGTAGCACCCCGTGTTTTAAAGTTAAAGTATTTTCGAAAAATTAATATGAGTTTTCGAAAATTAAAGCAGTGCTTTCCATTTATAGCGCGAAAAATTTACTCTGATTTTAGTAAGTTTAGGCGGGGTGTTACAACTATGATAAAGGATACCATATCGGGTCAGGTCATCCGGACCCGAAAAACAGGCAACTAAACCGGGCAGTCCGGCTGATCGAGCTGACGCTATCAGTCAACCTGAGTGTGGCTTCAGGTCGATGGGGTCTTTGACATGAGAAGATTAAACAGAAGAGTTCGGCTTGACTGAGGGTTATTGAAAGTGGAGGGACTCTGGTTGAGGGATCGACCTCTAAGGTGGTACATAGCCGAGGGGGGAGAAGTGTCTCTACCTGGTGATGTGGGGGTTGGTCTTAGAAATAGACCGTGTAACTAGGAATCCAAAGGATAAAAAGGAATCTTAGGGCAACAAGGACAACAACTTGGGCATCAGGGAACCCACTCCTATAAATATGAGTAGGATAGCTTCATTAAGACTCTCTCCACATTTACTATTATACTCTTATACTGCACTTCGTCTCTAGAAATTGCTGAGTTAGGCATCGGAGGCTCTTCACTAGAAATCTCTCTCCCCTCTCTGATGTTGAGTTCATGTAGGTTCAGAGGCCGTTTGAGGTAGAATAGGTCGCAATTCTTTGTATTATGTTGAGCAGAAACCCGAGTGAAGTCTATTTCACTATTAACCTCACTCTCCATCTTCCCCGGTGGTTCCATCTCAACCTCCTCATAGTACCTATTTCTTTTCAGCACTGAAGTAGATAAACTTTCTCCTATATTGATTTGGATCTTGAACAACAAGTTTTCCCTCCACTTTCTTCTTGTCTTGTTGATTTCTCAAGTGCTTTTTACTCAGTTTTGTGCCACTCACCTCAACAACCATATCTACATTTATTCCAACCCCAACTTTTGTTCTTCTTTTTTTTTTCAAAAAATTTTCGAGTGATCAAATTAGAAGAGCTCACTTGGGATAACATGATAGGTTGATTTGTTCTTGCACTGATTCCTCTGGTAAGTCTTGGTTAGCACTATACGCCCCTGCTTTTTCCATCCGCAATTCATTCACAATGTTTTCTTGATTTCTTCTACTTGGAGACATGATGAAGTTGTCTTTCCCAGAGAAGCATGGATTGGGATCTATGGAGTTTTTAAGTTGTTCAGAAGCATTATTAGAAGGGTTGCTCGAAGATTGTTGTCTAAGCCCATAACTTCCTTCATTTTCTTTTAACCAATCTCCATACTGGCCTCTTTAAGTTCCTCCTTAATAATGACTTCTATTATTTTTTCTACAGAATTTGTCCAGTGTCTTATTCTACTGCAATAATAGCACAGATTTACTAGTTTTTAATATTGGGAAACCCACCACTATAATTTGTTTTTGCAACTTCATGCTCACGCATCTTGGTATAGGTTCTGTCACATCGAGAGTAACAAGAAGTTGAATGTATCCGCCCCTGGGACCTCTTGTTGTAACCACTGTCACATTCTTAACCTTCTTGAAAATTCTACCTATTTTCATACCCACTTCTAAGCACATCCAATTCAGAGAAATATTGCTTACTTGCACCCATATACCAATCTCATAGAATCCCGGATGGGTTACAATTAATCCTTTTTCCCATTTTTTCTTAACAAAATAAAGATTCTCAAAGACCTAGTTTATTCTCGACATAACTTTATTCTTATCCTCTAAATTTGTAAAAACAAATTGGAAGATGTTAGGCCCTATCTCCCTTACCTCCACCCTAAATTGGACTTGCCAAATTAAACCCATAGTTCTCTGAATTCCTAGAGCTTTTCCAATCTCCAATTACTTTCCCAGAAGCTCATGCGGCATTCCTCTTCACTGATGTCATTCACTTTGTTTTTCGATTGTGATAGCTCAATATTCTTCAACGACTACCTAATTCCTCTGCCAAAACTTTTGAAATAGTAGCCCTGGTCGACTCTGGATCCATCCGCAATACTTGAAGCCAAAAAAAATAAAAAATAAAAAATAAAATAAAATAACGAAAGCACAAACATGGAGGAAGCAAAACCCGATCTCCGAACTACACTCCGACTTAACGCCCACAAGACGGAATGTACACAAATCTCCAAACTTACAAGAATTCAAGATTTTTCTACGAAGAGAATACGAGCTCCCATGAGACATAATAGATGAATTTATGAATTGAATACAAATTATTTTGGTCACTCCTTTGGAATGATTCCAATATGTACTTTTACAGGCAAGCGACCAAGGTCATTGGCCATGCGACCAGGGTCATTGGCCATGTCTTGTGACCAGATGACCCACCTATAGAGCTTTTAAATTAAACAAGCTACGCTCGATAAAAGAGCAAAGCTCTAACTTATATAAAGCTCATTCAATTAAAGAACTTATATAAAGCTCGTTCAATTAAAGATCTGAGCTTGACTCGACGATAAAACCTTGAAAAGATGATTTGTATTTTTCAATAGTTCAACTTGATTTTAACTCATTAAGGCTCGAACTCAGCTAGTTAATAATGATAATCGAGCCAAGCTCGATCTAAATTTTAAGCTCGTTAAGTTAACAAGTCGAGCTGAGCTCGACTCATCAAGAACTCGAGCTCGAGCTCGTCTCCTTACACCCCCTACACATCAATTTCTAACAATCACATACTCAAGCACAAGACGGGTAAATTATCAATTTACATGCTTCGAGTCCAAAATAAAATGCACTCACGTCTAAGTTTCAAAAATGTATAAAATCCAACCAAAATGAAGTTCACCACACCCTAGCACTAAAATTTTATTCATGAACAGAACCAAAGTTCCCCAAAACACCATCCATGCAAAACACACATCTACTCATCAAGCCATCCCGAGTTTCTCTGCTGAGAATACGAGCGGTATGGGCCAGGCGCAAAACCCAATGATCCTGGTTGGGACGATGCGGGCCTTGCACCACGAGGATGATACATTCCGCTACCGCCCGTCGCCTGACCGTGATTCATCTCGTCCAGACGAGATGCGTACCTCTGCATTGCAGATGTAGGATTGCGAGCTGGATTCTCCTGCCCGAAAGCAGACGTGTACTCGGGGCCCGCATAGGATGACGGACGAAAAGAGCCCCTTTGACCCAACAAATTGTGCTCCTCATTCATGTTCCCCATGTATCGAGACCCATAAGGATAACCATAATCGGGTCTGGGGCTGTGGCTCGGGCTGGGGCCAGCGCCAGTCGAGTATGTCTGACGATGTGGTCCCTCGACACTGCTCAAGTTGTACCTCCTCACCACATCGTCCAATGTTTCGTTACCGTTGTACACAGTAGCATCCTGAGGATAAGGCTGATGGTAAGTAGGGAAATTTGTCTGTAGTTCCAACTGCTGCTGATGACGATGCCTTCCGGAGTGAACTTGCTGTGGATATTCAGGAAGTTTCGGTGAACTTCTTTCGAGTGATCTACGATTGGCCAAATTTGGCGACACGTGGCGAGAGACGGGACGTTTTCTGGTGTTCACGTCCTCCCCGGACATGCTATCTGGACGATTTTTCCTTTTGTTTTTACCTCCTCGCTCCCGGTTATTCTTGTCTAATGTTCTATCAACTGGTGCATCCTCCTGGTTGCTTGCCATTACCTTCTCTGCCGGTCCAATATTGTCGGGATTATTAACTGGAGCTTCAGCTTTAATCACAAGAGACTTGTCAAGATCACGAAGTTCCATGGTAGAACTAGGGACTTGAATATATTTATGATTCTCCTCCAACTTGAGATTTCTTTGGCCACCGGACGAGTGCCCATGCTGCTCGGCAATGGCCTTGTGCTTGGAGGTCCAACTTGGATGACTCCAGAGATAAAGAACAGGTGCATTCACGTTCCAGTCCTCAATTTGTTTGTCATTTACATCGACAGATCCAGGCAGATAAAATGCCTGAGATTAAAAACACCGTACATTATACAATAAACACAGGAAAATACAGATGGAATCATGATACTTACGAAAGACCACCAACTTACCCTGCCAGCAAACATCTGATCATCCTCCCAAATCAGGTTATACCGACAGTCCTTTGCATCTAACCTGATCAGTACAAAGATAATAGAAACTCAGTTTTCTCAAAATATTTTATTTTATTGTCTTTTCTTACAATTTTCGAAGACAAGAAATCGAGAAAAAAAATATACCGCTCAGTCTCTCTTGGAACAATGAGGATTAGTAACTTCGGTTTGAACTCGAGAGCTTTATTAATAAATTTGTTGGCAAGCGATGCATTGACTCCAAAAGGTGGGTTCAGGCCCATAATCTACCAAACAAATCAAATCAGTATTAAATGAATAATAGAAAGGCATGGAATTTATATGAGCGCGTATAATAGTTAATCTCACCAGCTGCGACCCATTTGGCAACTCATCTGGTCTCACTTGCATCCAGTCTCTTTGCTCAAAATTAAAATCATTCTGAAAATATAAACATGAATTAGAAGTTGAAAACGAAACTGTATTTTTATTTCAGCGGCTGAACACAAATATAATTCCATCTAATACGTGCCTTGTCAGTAGAATTCTGGGAACAGCCAATGGTTCTGAAAGCATATTGAGTTTGATAACTAATTTGCTTACAAAGTATATGAGGCATTGTTATCTTTTAGACATGCAAAACATTGCATGGATGCTTAAATTTATTTATATATATATAAAGAACAAAAACAAGAACTCGCTCGTTAGCAAAGGTTTTGAAGATAACGAGAAATCAAAGTTAAATACTAAATATTGCTCTGAAAGTAGTATGAAAGAACAGATTTCATACATCCACATCAATGGTGAAGCCACTCAAAATTTATAGCAACAGGTACAAAGAACAGATATTTCATACATCTAAACACCAAGATAAATATTTGTAAGGACCATTAGACTGTGGAACGGGATGGTGTGGCTGTGGCAGTGATAAATTATTTCTTTTTGACTCCAATGTGTTCGGCTAAGCTTTGACTCGAATAACAATGCTTCTCTAAAAGAGTATTGACTATGGATCGATTTTTTTAGTCCCTCAAAAAAAAAAATAAATAAATAAATAAATACAATGATTTGGTTTTCACCTTTGGCTGTAGGATGTCGTAGTTTTTGAATGAGCAGTTCTTCCCCATTTCGTCAAGTTTCTTTTTCATAACGCAGCTGAAATCATTTGAACCGCAACAAAAATCAACAAGCTGCCAGAGGAAACAAAAAATGTTAGGCTCATATATCCATAAACAGATAATGGAAACACTGAAATCAGAAACCAATAATTTGGAAACAAGGAATGTCTTCAATGATTTAGTACAGTTCAGATGCATTAGTCATTATTTTTTTAAAAAGAAATGAAAGACCACTAGTTCAGTTGTATATCAGAATCTGTGCATATTACTTAAGGACAGCAAACAATAAATTCCATCAAACTTGAGTATCCTACACCAGCCCAGACAGTTGCCAAATAGACCTAATAGGTTACGTGAAAGGCCTGCAAGGTCCACTAAATTGTGAAAAACCTAGTTTGGATTTCTCTCAAATCTCTTCACCCAATTGAAGAGAACAATGACACCAATCAGAACGGGCACTGAAAGCTGAAAGCTTGAGATAAAGATATGTAAACATGAAACACTAGAGAAGAAAACGCAAGTCTGCTGGCTGCTATGGATGTGGATAAAAGATGAATTTTTTCAGTTAGTAGAAAAAGGAGGTCTCAGTTGAGAATAAAGAGAAAGTTATCGAATTAACAAGCAAGGAAAAAAATGGCAGAGTAAAGAAGCCAGACGAAAGGAATTAAACAGGTAATACTGAAAGAGGTGAAACAGCAAATAGAATTAACAAGTTTGACCAATAAGTTTTAGTAAGTAATGCTATCATTAAAAGAATACCTAATTATGAAAATTAAACCTCATTAGAAAAGAAATCAACAGTGTAGAAGTTGCATGAACTAACCAAGCAAATAAAAGCGACACAGATAGGGGTCAAGTACTAGCGAAGAAAGGTTTTCACATAGGAGGTGCAGAGAGAGAGGAAAAATGGGAGGAGCGTTATGTTAATGAAGGATTTAGAAAGAAGCAGATGAGTAATGGAGTAGAAAAATGCCAAATTCATGGTGTCGTACAATTCATTTTCACCCTGCAATATTTAAATTGTTCAGCAGCTTCTCATACTGTAAAACAGACGGAACCAGTAAATACAAGAATGGGGAAGAGAGATGAGGTCATCCTCAGAACGGGGCCGGGCAGGTCAATTTTCCCAAACCCGGTCAAATTCCTCGTGACAACATTCGCTAATTGTTCATTTCTGGAAGTCCTTCAACTTCGACAAATCCCACTCAATTGCTGATTCTACAAGACATCAATGCATTTCCTCGGGTGTTGACCGTGTACCGGGTATACTTAAATACTCCCTTTCTTGCAAGACGATACTTCAACATACACCAATGTAATAGATTCCTTTTTTACTATATGCCGTCACTTGATAATATTTTATTCCTTTTACCAAGGCTAAGTTGAATTATCCGGACTACAAGTGTAGATCACTATGGTCAAGATATAATATAAATAATACATTATATTTACCTACCAGTATGTCTACATTTTGAAAGAAAAATGTTGTCCATATGATGGTAAGATTCAAGTCACGTACACCACCCAATGTTCACAAAATATAATAAAGAAACACCAGCAGAACATGTAAAATAAGGGAGAAGGACTTGCATAATAAACCAAAACATATGCACTGCAATCCAAGGGCTAAATAAAATAGAGGGAACATAGAACACAAATGAACAAGTCTTTTTCATGAAAAACTGTGGACAGTGTATTACCATGTCCCCATCTTGAACATAGGAATGGAGCATATCAGCTATCTGCAAGTAGAACCACCATGGCGAGAATATGTTAATTTCAGATTTGACAAAATAGAAGGAAATGAAAAGTTATGATACAGTCAAAGAAGGTAAGAAAAACAGACAAAGAAGGTAAGAACAACAGACTACAACAGCAACACACTGGTTGTTTTGGTATGATGGGACCAAAACAAATTACTTGAATCTAACGTCATGGATATTACTAAGAAAGGCCACCATATCTTCATTGTTCTTGGAAACAAACATGACAGTGCTGATACAAAGAGTTACCAAAAGAAACTATTACGTATTTTCTACCCACATCAAATACTAATGATCAAATTTTGTCCAACTTCCACTACAAACATATTTACTGTATTCCGTGACTGTGTGCGTTAAATAAGATTGAATTTAATAGTTTCTAGCATTCAACACTCATACTATGTAAGAAAAATAAACTTCCACAAATGAATAATAAGCAACAATGGAAACCAGATGAAAATATGCCACGCATATTGGAAGATAGTATTTGTCTGCCTTTTTCTATCCATTGTGTTCCACAGTCATATTTATTTGTGTTGAAGAGCGATGCCCAAACTGGCATAAATCTGATAATTGTTCGGTAAAACATCTTTAAGGGGAATCATATTTTTCCAAAAGAGAGATGGTATGTATACAGCATATGTTTACATACATGAGAAACAGAACTATTAAAAGTTAAACACTTATCATAAGCACTCACTAGCATGTTGAGCACTTCTGTACACCCCTAAACAGCATATCCAATAAACAATCTCAAACCACATGTTTTGAGGCAGTAAATCTGATTTTAATCGAGATAGTTCTCTAACAAATAGTTAACTCATAAAATGGCAAAAACATAAACTAACCTCTTTTAGTTTATCCAATTTAGTGAAATGGCGACCAAATGATGTATAGCGCATGCCATATAAAAATGGAGCAAGATACACTTTCAACTTATCCTGCAGAAACAAAAAAAGCACATGATTATAACACATGCCTCAAAAGTAAGGCAATTCGCCCTCGCCAGAATAAGTAACAGGCATCCATCTCAATGCAACAAGAAAAGTAGAGCAGCATGATGAGTAGGCTATATTCAAAGGTCAAACTGCTTTATTAAATCTTTTTTAAGCCAGCTAACACTCAGGACGAATGTCCCCAAAGGAAAGCCATGCATGTCTCGGGCGAGTAATAAATTCTTTAAGCTACCCTACCACATAAGATTGCAGCCACGTGTATTATAAGATTACAATTTGAACGTAACCAGCCATACTACTCTAGACATCATATTTCCTGAAACCATAAACTCTTCTTATTGAAGAACCAGCAATGCATTGTGTAGTTCTAACACCCGACATTTTTGTCCTATACATTTGGTACACCGCAAATGCCTTGGTAGACACCATAGGAAAATCACCGTGCACTGCCCGGGGCGCCACAGGTTACTGAGACGGGTGCCTCTAACATGTCCTCGAGCACCCACGAGGCGCAGCACGGCAAAAAGATCTATAGGAAACTCTATTTAGGCAACTTTAGAGAAGTTCTAGGTTACTTTTTAATGCTTTTATGTGATCTGGAAAGTAAAATCTGAATCTTCCACCTCAAATGCATATTCCAGCTAACAGGGCGCAAAAATTATGGCTTGGGTTCAGGGGAAAAAACAAAATTTACTCGAGGAAGATTATCACCCACTGCTGATCGACACTACCAGACCTCAACAGATATATAGCCTACCCTGAATGGTTTAGACTTGAACCTTAACGAACTTTGTCCTTGTGTTTACTTTCGTTGGTGGTTACTGGTTTGTAACTTTTAGTTGGTTGTTGGCTCATGTATCAATGTCGTCTTTTGTTTGTGCTACATGCTAATGACTTGGGTGGTTGTATGCATGATCCATACTGGAAGTTCCTATTGCAATTTGAACTTATATATGTATAATGGATAATTTGTTTTAGGTTAATTTTTTAAAGTCACCTCATGTTGACTAGGCACGGCGTGAGATCGCCGTAGCTCAACTTTCGACATTAACAACTATGGTCCCAAAGTAATGTTATGTCAAGCTACTGCATTCCAAAGCTGACACCTTGCAAGAAGGTTTATTATCATCTTCCTTGATATCTGCTAGGACAGAAGAAATAATCTAGCGACAATACTGAAACTTTTCTATTTCACAATCTTCCCTGGATTTCTTCCTCAAACAGTTTCAAGTTTCACTCATGAGGTTGCACTAAACAGAATCCTAGTTTGCAGCAGGCATTCTCACAGTATCCAAAAACAAGGGCAACCTCGTTCGACAACTTTAATGATATGTCCAGGCACACTTCTTAAAATTTCAAAGAAATTCATTATGTAATTGGTCCCTTGTGGCATGTAGTAATTTAGACAATCTTCATAAATATACTTTTTTTGTAAACAGTTGAGACCTATATTTTATTACTCAGCTTCAAGTCGATATACCAATGGCATCCAAATTTGGTCTATAATAAAACACAATTGTTTTCACACTAGCACATCTAATATCCATCTTCAGAATTTTATCAGATTCTCTCTGGAAATAAATATATGTTCAACACTTAACATCCATGTCAGCATCAGCAGCCTCCCCAACCACTTCACAGATGAAATCATAGTTTTCTACATTGTTCAACAGTATCTCAAATTCAGCCTGGATCACCAGCTGAGTGAGACTGGAGGTTATGCAGGTAACTAGGGATTTAATGACTATTCTCAAAGAAGCTGTTTAGGTTCAAGTTTTTGCATCATGTTGTAGTTATGTAGTCAAGCCATTAAGGATGTTCTCAACAATATTAAAGGACCAAAATAAAAGAACTAAATGGATTCCGCACAATGCATTACCTGATGATGTATAAGTTCACAAAAATAAAAATAAAATGGTCCAATCAATAGAATCGGTTATGTGATAAACTACATAATAATATACCAAAGGGATTGAAATCCATTGTCTATAGACAAAGAAATATGCCAAAATGGAAAGTTCAGTTCCATCTTGAGCATTTACCTTCCATCTCGACATCTGGACGAGAAGATTATTCCCACAAATCATTCTGGCATCCTGAATACTGCCTCCTCCTTCTAATGTTTTCAATGCAGCATGTAAAGACTGCACGTTAAGAAGTATTAATTTCCTATAAGAATAAAATATCAACATTCCTGCAGAATTGAGCTAATACCTGAATAGAACCCTCCACCTTTCCCAATGTAACATTGTCCACAGAAAAATTTGAAATGTGAGTATGTGTTGATGGTGATTTATACTTTTCTTTAACTTGTTCAAGCGTCAATGACGATGAAGCATCCTTCATCAATTTAAATATTCTGCGAAAAAAGCACTAAATTTAAATATTTTTGCCATTTCCCTTAATGAAGCTGATAGATATTTTGTTCAATTTTTGCAGGCACTTGCTTAAATATTAGTGCTATAGAGAAGTTCAGGAGGACAGATAAACAAAAAGATGGAAGAATGGTAAGAAATCATGTACACTGACAATAAACTGCATCACCTTTTTTTGGTATCAGTGTCAATAGTGAAAGGATTATCGATTCTCCTGGCTGCAGGCTTAGCCTGAGTTTTCGCAACTCCACCATGAACACCACCCCCTTCACTGAATTTGTCTATTTCAGAATCCATTGCATAAAAGGTTGAATATAACTTGTTTCCTAGAGACATCTCCCTTTCATTAATCATATGTCCCTTCAGCTTCCCCACATCATTCTTATTTGTAGCTTTTTGCATTTTGATAGTTCTTCCAGCAAGCGGTTCCTCCGCTCTTCTTCTAAATATACCAGCTTGCTTTGAACCGGAAGACACCTTGAATACTTTGTTTAGTGGTTTCGCAGGTATTACCTTCCCTGAAGTATTTTCGAAACCAAGACTTCCTTTCTTCATTTGAGTCTTCTTAATACTACATTCCACTGGTACCTTGTTCATTTTCTTGCGCTGGGGACCTGGAAATTGGATATGGTCTCTGACAGGGGTAGAAAGCTCCAGATCGATCTCATGATCTCTGAAGACAGGGATAAGATCACGTCAGAACAATATTTAATATTCCAGATAAAATGAAGCTAGGAATAATCATGTCTCACAAGCAGTAAATTAGTAAACGGTTTTTAATCAATCCATCCCAAGCCCTTTGTACAATTCCTCGATCTTCCAGTTCAATTCCCCTGTCAACAGATCCAAAAATTCCAAATTAAAAAATTAAAAAGATTTTTTAAAAAAAAATCTAATTAAACTTACAAGAACAATATAGTGCACCTTGGCAAACATTTTCTATGGTATACATGCGGACAACGGCGGCAAACAGCGAATTGCAACTCATAAATATCCCTCACTTCTAATTCTTTACATACATGACACTTGTGAGCAGGGCAGACAAACTTTTCACCCGCAGCAATCTTTTGCTTTTGCTCCTCTGCTGCTGCCTCATTCCCAGGATGAAGAAGTTTTGCAACACAATGAGGATGATAGAAGTACCCACAAGCTCCATTAACACAACAGAAAACCTGCAGATGAGAGGCAAAATATTGCATTACGGAATGCACCCAACGGCAGTATCAGTCGTTAAGAAAATTGCAAAGTGTATTGTAGTTTTGCAAGAGAAAGAGAGAAAGAAAAAAAAAATGAACAGAAATGAAGATTAAGAGATAAAGGTAACTCAGGAATCAGACTAATTTAGAAATATTGAATTATGTGTAAACACCAAAAGTGTGGAAAATATATTAGGCACAACACTTTTAACTAACCTAAAATGGATCTGTGACTTCATTCATAGTACCAAAGGAATTGACAGAAACATCAAGGGGGCGTTTGTTTATAAATTTTTCCAATTCATACTCAAAATCTAACTCACAATATAACTAAATAATATCAACCAATCATTCTCACACATCAGATCAACTTTAATTCACTATTCATCCACTCACATAATTTTAAGTAACCATCACTTCACATCATTTCTTCCTACTTTTTCATCAAATTAAATTTAATTATTTTATTTTAAATATTATTTCAATATAAACTCAAAATCCCACTAACAATTAACCATACCAACTTCTTCAAGATTAACTCTGGTTAGCCAAAAAAACTCGTTTTAAGCTGATGCTTTTGTATTTAAGCATGCCCCAAGGGCTCTGTTAAGCTAGCCGATAACTGGTTGTACCACTTGATTGCAGTTTGCAAATGAGCATTTGGAAAAGAGCTCGAAGCTTATAGCTGTTAGGTTTCAGTATTTTTTGTGAATCCCTGCTACCCAAAAAGTGCTCTATTGACCTATTTCAGAATTAGCGTTTGGGCCCAAAAAACTAATCAAACAAGCTCTTTACAAAACGAGCTAATTAGCGGATTCGACAAGCCAATCCTCGAAATGATGTTCAATACGCTAATGTAACACCAAAAACCACTCCCAAAGTATTTCTTGAATTTTGTACACCAAAACAAATACAAAGAAAAATAACTTGAATCGGAAATTAGCCGAGACGAGCTTCATATCCAGTCTCATAAAAGTTGAATTGGAATGGATGTCTCTAATAGAAATTAGATACTCAGTGCTGCTCAGACAAGGATAATAGACCAAGGTGTCTTCCCCCACAATACAAAGAGTTAGTGAGCACTTAGTCAAAAAGCGTGAATGATGGATACCTCGGGACTAGAAGACTCATCAGAAGACCCCATTTTCCCGCAAGCAAAGCACTGATGCTGCTTATATTCACAATTCTTACAAATAAACGGAACATCTTTAATCGCCTGAAGTTAAAACACAGACGTCACCAGAGCCAATTGAGCTGAAGCAGAAACCACAAGGTAGTAACTTAAAACATCAGACATAACAAAATTGAACAACATACTTCGAGTTCTTCCTCAGTAAAACCCAAAGATTCACATTCTGACTCTTCACCAGCTTCAACAGTTGCATGGAACGCCCTCATACACTTGCCGTCGCAGCTAATTCAGATCACAAGCCATTTTACACAAACAAATCTTATTATTTAATTTCAAAAGACACCCCTAAAATACGTAAATGTGCCAGAACAGTTTATATAACTCAAGATGAACATGGGAGTAAGAGCGATACACATCTAAATAAGTTGAGCATGGAGAGAGGAGAGTGTACAAAATTGTGGCAAAAATTAAGAATGAAAATATTAATGGCCATCACTTTCCAAATAATTACCAGACATCAACATTATCAATGATGCATAATAAAGAAACTCAAACGTTCAGTAGAACTTGTCCAATACTTCTGACAAGGAACTGTAACTGATAAGACGCCATTCTCAAACAAAATGCCACAGAAAATTAGATGCAAACGGCCCAGATATATGGTTTCTAGAAATGTACTGTTTCTAGAAATGTTCACCATTTAAGCCATGCTTTCTCACATGGTTGAATAGAGTTTCCCAAATCAATGAAAAAATAGACATTTGACATAATAAAGTATATGAAAGAAACTGCAGGGTGGAAGTCAAACACTATCAATAGTGCTATACACTATCTGAACTCCGAGACTGTAAAATTTAGTTTGGAAGATATTTGAAGAATTCTTGGGAGCAATATTTAGTGGAATTGGAAACTGAGACATAATTAAATCTTAAAAAATTATGTGTTCTGTAACTTTCATTTCCTCATGTAAGCAATATAGAGAGGGAAAAGTGTGGCATTTCTGTGGTAGCTCAAAGGCATGGATTTGTAGTAGCAGCCAAAACCAAGACCAAGATACCTGGTTTATATAATTGTCTCAAACAAGGAGATTACAGTGCAAGAGAGACCTTGTAATGGTAATACTGACACAGACGAGGCACCTTACTTTTTTCTAGTGTACTTTCATTTTCAGTCTATTTAAAACAACTCTATATGTACTCTGCCTGTCCAGCTCTATGTATGTTTAACACAAACACCGCAATAAAATAACAATTCCTACATTTGCTGGGTCAATCCAGAATAACTGTGAAACTCTATAAAGTTAATGAGCAATTTCTATGACAGGACTAACGAGCATTTAGTTAAAAATAACGAAAGCAGATACATACATATATATGTTACCACCATTATCACAAATGGCACAAACAGAGTCAAAACAATCATCCTTATCATCATCTCCACTGTCATCAGGATCGTCGAAACCTTCCTGATTATCGCCATCCCCATTTTCATCAGTCTTGTCATATCCCTCCAAATTATCATTTATAAAAGGAGGCTTCACAATCTAGCAAGCAGCAATTTTTTTGATCAATAATACTATAATGAAGTGAGGTCGCTCACAATATATTATTACCCCTGTAATTGAATGTTCGTGTGTTATAGAGAGAAAGAGAGAGAGAGAGAGAGAGAGAGAAAGAGAGAGCAACCTCATTTATAATTTTGCTCTTTGAACGCTTTTCTTCGAGCAAAGTATTCACAATCTGTTGAGGGAAAAAAATGTTATCATAGAAAAATGTTACCAGTACATGCAGGTTGATGAGGAACCTAATTTGTCAAAATAAATCACTGTTAGTTCTGAATAATCATCCATCATAAAATAGACAGTCAACAATATAAATCTTTGTTTATGTTCTCCACTATAATGATATTACCTAGTGTTTAAACATTATCTAGATAGATGGAAGGATCAATATAATTAGACTTGACACAAATATATATACAATCTACAGGCTAACAGGACGTCTCTTCACCTCCACATCACACGCTCATACATTTTGACATGCGGGTAATGAATATTATTCCAATACACTTAATAATATTGCAAAAATATTGGCCTCACATCATCTAGTAGTATCATCTACTCCAATAATGATGAAGAACAGACCTTGGATTTCGCCAACGTGTCATCCCGCTTAACAACTTCTTTAATCAAAGACAAGTGGTTTACCAGATCATCCACAGAAGGCCCTTTATCGAACGTGCTACAAAATTAAACAAAAGTTTGAGAAGAGTGAGCAATGAAGTAATATATAAAAGCAAGTTTCATATTAACCTGAAAGCTCTATTAAGATGATCCCACAAAGCTTGTTGTGATTGCTGAGGATTCCACTTTGAAAAGTGTAGAAGTTGCAATGTGATAAGAATTGTTCTGATTATGCCCTCAAAAGGTTTCCGTGGCTTCAGAAGCGTGATCCAGTTATTCTCTATTGACAATACTGAGATCTGAGGCTTATCAAATGAAAGATCGAACTTCCAAGCAATAACCTGCTTATAAATTTTCCTAAGTCCATTATCAGTTCTGCCAGACAAAAAGATCGGATCGTTTGCTTTTTCATGCATCTCGCCTGAATTCCACTCCACCGGTAATGAGGCAAATGAAATTGACTCATTATCACCAGAAATAAATTCGTAGTCTGATACATTCTCTGGAACCATTTCACCTTCATCATCTGAAGATGCCATATTTTAGTTATGCTCCCACGTCCAAAATCACTTGTTCTCTCAACCTAACATATTTACAAGTTAAGAGAAATAGAAAGCACAACCTGATGTCAAATGAGAAGTAAAAAATTAAAAAAAAAAAGAGAGAGAGAGAAATAGAAAGCACAAACGATAACACAACAAAACAGAGAAAAAGTATGACAATACCAGAAGATTACAAAAAAATATTGAGAATTCAAGTCCTACTTTCAGAATTATGGGTTCTCTTATGCATGAAAACGATGGAGAAACCCCTCTTATCTTAATTTAGTTTCTAAAAAATCTAAAACAGATGACTAAGAAG